ATAGCTGGAGCCGCATCTGGATTCCAGTGTTTCCCATCTACAGCCCACTCTCTTCTGAGAAGAGCACATCCTTTGATTTTATACATCCCTGTCCCACCCTCCTTTCCCTATTCTTATCCAGGTTTCACACAGTCCTTCTATCCTCTGTTCCCTTCCCCGGCATCCTGCTAACATGGGGACTTCCCAGTTCCCTAATCTACCAAGTGTCCCTATCTCTGCCTTACTTAAAGGAAGAGCTTCTTTCTTCTAGAGAAACCTTGGGTAACAAAAATATAATGTGATTTTTCTAGAAGCAACAGTAAAAAGGTTCAGAGATGGTAAAATTAAATTTAATATATTTTATTTAACCCAATGTATTAAAGTATTATCTCTAACTATAATCAGTATAAATATGAGTTAGTTTATGATCTTTTAAACAACATTTTATTTACTATTATTTTTAAAATTTTACATGTATGAGTAAGTACACCCATATTGTACAGTGCCCACAGAGGTCAGAAGAGGGCATCAGATCCCCTGGAACTGGAGTTAGGATGGTTGTTAGCCATCATGTGGGTGCTGGGAATCAAACCCAGGTCCTCTGCAAGAGGAGCCAGTGCTCTTGCCCACTGAATCATCTCTCCAGCCTCAAGTTTATCATCTTTTAAAAATTATTTTATACCTGAGCTTGGTGGTACAAGCCTGTAATCCCCACATTCAACATGTTGAGGCAGGAAAATTTAGAGTTCAAGGCTAGCCTTGTCTATACAATGAGATGCTGTCTTAACAAGAAAATTTCCAGTTTTTAGCAAGTCATAAAAACCTGATGTGTATTTTAAATATTGTATTTTTTATTTTATGTGTATGAATGTTTTGCCTGCATGTACATAAGTGCACCACCTGTATGCAAGTCCCACAGAGGCCAGAGAAGGTGTCAAATCCCCTGGAACTGGAGTTACAGTTGTTAGCTGCCATGTGAGTGCTGGAAATCAAACCCAGGTCCTCGGAAGAACAGCAAATGTTCTTAGCCGCTGAGCCATCTCCCCAACCCCCTGATGTATATTTCACAATTATAGCACATCTTACTTAGGAATAGCCTCGGTGGGGGTGCTCAGTGGGCACATGGAGCAGTTGCACATGTGGGACAGGGCACGTTTGGACCCAGTTCTCTCATTTGCCTTTGGAAATGGTCTTGCTTGGCCCCTTCCTTTTCACTCTCTTCTCAGTCCCTCATATCCTGTTAGTCCTCACGTTTTCACCTTTGGCTGCCTTGTCTTTACCCTGTACCCTCTCCCTGATTATCTCATGTCATCCTATCAGCTGGTGATTCCGGGGTCATCTCTCTGACTCCCACCTCCAGGTAAAGTTGCAGCTAGTTAGGCTTCTTGATATGCCAATGCTGAAGCTGTGATCTTTCCTAGAAACCCCCCCTCTTCCATCCGCATCCGTGAAACCATTATCGACCCAGATGTTCCTGCCAGAAAACAAGAATTCTGCTGAGACTAAAGCCAGTCAATTACAAACAGCAATGAAGCCTATTTAGTAGATTATTATTTCCTTTTAAAAATATTTTATTTTTTATGTGTATGAGTGTATTGTCTGCTCATGTGCCCCCATGTTGAACAATGCCTGTGGAGATCAGAACCGGGTGTTGGAATCCCCTGGAATTGGAGTTACAGTTGTTAGCTGTCATGTGGGTGCTGGGAATCGAACCCTGGTCCTTTGCAAGAGCAGCCAGTTTAACCACTGAGCCATCTTTCCATCCCCGGCAGACAATTATTTCAATATTTGCTTTTCCTTTCTCAATCACTGCTTCAGTCAAGTTCGTCATTCATCCCCTGTGACAGTGACTTCTTTAATAATTTGCCCAACTTTACTTAGTTCTTCCACTCTGTCCTTTATGCCCTCAATATTTCAGCCAAGACCTTTTCTTTTTTTCCCGAAACATTTTCTATTCACCTAGAATTGCCAACTGTGAGGCTGTGGGGTAGCCAGGTGGAAGACCAAGCAAGGGTGCTTTGTCCTATGATTCAGTCAAGAGCATTTTCAAGAGGGCAGAGACTGACTCTTTGCACTTAACTCCACATCACCACTGAGCAGTTGAGAAGATGGTTTTAGAAGGCATAGGAACAGATCTAATAGAATCTAATTCCTTTTGTTTTGATAACATATAGCTTCCATAGTTTTAAAGGCTTCCCTTAAACCTGAGTTTATTTTAGAGCATTGAAATTGATCTCTCTCTCCCTGCCTCTCTCCCTCTCCCTTCTTCCTTCTTCCTTCTCTCTCTTCTTCTCTCCCTCCCTCCCTCTGTCCCTCTGTCCCTTCTCTCCCTCCCTCCCTCTCGCCCTCCCTCCCTCTCGCCCTCCCACTTTCCTTTTCATCTTTCCATGTAAGACTTCAAAAATCTGATTGGCACATGCCTTCTTTCCCACACATATGCAAATAGTGTTTTGTGTTGGGGATTCAGTGATTCCCAGAAACATATCCATTGGGAAATCTTGTTGGAAGAAAATTCTAAAATGACTTCAGGTTAAAGTGTTAAAAGTAGTTAGATTTATTCTCCAAGATGTTTTGAAAATTCTTCGAGCATTTTATGTCCATTTTAGAAGCTGAACAGTTACAAAACATTGAACATGGTCTGGCTGAAAACTCAAAACAATTTCATACTTTCTGTAGCTCAGTGAAGCTGAGCTTCCCCAACCTGAAGCCCCCTTATTTGTTTCTTGTGGGCTCTTGGAGCCTTGTTTGTGAGGCTCGTCCTTGGCTGTAGCAGCAGCTCTGTCATTGCAGAAGCTTCCCTAAGGACCACAGCTCCAGTCTTCTGTTCACTCAGCTCCCTGTGCGCTCCCTCCCTTCTCCTGCTCTCTCAGCCCAGCACCTCTGGGAGGAGACAAGGAGGTAGAAAAAATGCTAGGCCATATGGGCCACACTGGTGAGGTGAGAAGAGGTGTTAGGGAACACTCCAGAGTCAAGTGAATGTAAGTTTCTCTTCAGCATCATGGCTGCTGACAATCCTGCAGTCCCTTCCTGTCTAGAGACTGTGCCACATGTGGTTGGATCTTTAGCCGGCTGTATCCCTCCCCCGTTACTGGGGCCCAAGAATAAGGCTGGATCCTTACTCAGCAAGCCACACATGAGTTCACAAGCCTCCCCTTGGGCCTCCTGCCAATCATCCTTTCAAGATTATCAGTCTGTTGCTGTCTTGGCAGGCCCTCTTCCTCCATGTCTTGCCAAATGGAAGCACCCTTTCCCCTTTGTCTCTGAGTCCTTCCAAGGCCCTCCTCTCGTGTGTCTCTGTTCCTCCCGCCCCTGTTCTCCCTACAGTCCTATCAGCCCCCTCGCCTTTGCAGTTCTTAAACTTGTTGGGTCTCTTGCCAAATCCCAGTACCATTCACTGTCTTCCTGGTTCTCCCATCCAGAGCCAAAATGAACCAACCAACTAGAAAGAGTATATTGGGCCAAAAAGTAAGTGAATGTGCCCAGATCCTCTGCTCATTTCCTCCCAGCAGAGTTTCCCAGAGTGACATTTCCAATGAAATCTAAATCTGGAAGGATTTAGATCTGCTGAAAGATGCTCAACCTCCAGTGTTCAGCTGTGTTTGAAGTTTTTGTCAGTCCTCCCACGTCTTATGTTTCGAACACTGTTTATAGATGCTTGGAAAGAAGCTTTTAATACTTGTATTGTGTTTTAACTTGCTTTCCTTTGGAGGCAGGGAATTGTCAAGTAAGTATCCACAGCACTCTGAAAAAGCACAGGTGTTTGGTGAACACGCTTGCAGAATCCAAAAGCGTGAAGGGCCGGTACTGAAAAGCCGCTGAATTTGCCACAATGCAGGAGTCTTCCCCTTGTCCCCGGCATCTTCAGTTGAAAGAATACAGCTATAGACATATGCTTGTGAACTGAGAGAACTTCTGAGATTGCTTTCCTTTTATTTATTTTTTCTGAAAATCAAGGTGATTAAAAAGCACCAGATTGCCTTTTCTGTGTATATATACAATCTCATGTATATATAAAGACACAGTGTTTGTGCTTGTATGCATACTCTCTACTGTATAATATGCTGTATATTATACAACCTGTGTACCCTGAAACACCCTGTGTTGAATCTTCAGTTATGCTTATGAACCATCGGTAGTTCTAGCATCTTCTCACTCCTATCACAACCCCTGGCTTGCTTCTGTCATACACTTAAACATTCTTAGGTGAAAGAAGAAACCTACGGATTTCATTTGAAAGTCCCACTAAAACAGAAGAAAGAGCAGACATCCTGGGAAGTGATAATTAATGTGCAGGAAGTGTCTGTTGTGAGAACGGTTATGAGAACTGGCACGCCCCAGCCTCGCTCAATTCGATGGTGATGATGTCAGCCGGGGGTGTCATTTGCAGAGATGTGCTCTCTTCTCATCCTTTGGTAGTGATTTTAATGCTATTTGGTCCATTTACCATTTATGATTATGTAACATGTTTTGATTGAAGAGTTTCTGAGACAATAAAGGTACCTTGTTTCCCCTGCACAAAACTCCACCAGCTATTCCAGCAGGCCAGCTGACCTACTGAGAAACGCTGGGAATCCTTAGAGTAAATTATGAGTCAAAGTTAATTTGGGAACAGAGCAGCCATTGTGCATAACTCCCCAAGACATCCAAGAGGGTGCCATTGTTTTTCTGACAATAAGTGTCTCCCCAGCTCACTCTAAAATTAAGCAGAGTCCCCCCCCTCCCCCGGCGTGGAGCCACAGAGCATGCGGGAAGCATTGACAAGCTTCCTTTTTTCTCCCCATTCTGTAGGCGCTTAGTGCAGAGTTTGCCCAGAGACGCCAGGGTATGAGCTTTCTGAATTTGTAGACTGGTACACTCTTTCATTTCTGTTTTAGTTCTTTGCTGGCATGCTGGGGAAGCATGGTTTGTGCCACACAGGAATGTCTGTTCACTTGGAAATGCTTGTGCATGAGTGAGTTGCTTGCTAATGCTGCTCTAAACTGTACTAAGTTTCTCACTTGGCTTTGTTTGCTGCTTCCAAGGGGATCAAGGTAATCCTTTCTCTTTGTGTTTCCCGAGAACAATAACTAATGGAGTTGGAGCTCCAGGCTGGAGCTGCTCCCAGGCTCCCTTCTCCCCTCCCCTGGTTGCTAAACTTGCAGAAGTCTGACTTAAGAGAACTCAATGGCACCAACAACTGGCCTACTTGCACAGGAATCCTTTAGGGTTTCCTCTTAGTAAAAATCTCAGCTGAATTTGGGGGTCACATTCCCCAAAACTAAGACAGGAAAGGCCACCTTTGGTGTAGTAATAGCAGCTTAACCTAGACCATAACCCTGAGTCTAGGGCAGAGTGCAAGGCAGAGCTCTTTCATCCCTTTCTTCCTTCTTATGTGGCCAGACCAGCCTGGGTACTTTGCATATGGCCCTAGGGCCTTGTCCAAAGCTTGGCTTCTGAGTTCTGTTGCTCATGATGTCGTGATCTGGACCACCTGATTCTGAATAACATTGGCACATTTGTGTCTCAAAAATGACCAATGATGTCAGGGAGTGTGACCTCTTCTGATTCATGCTTGGGCTCCTTAGTTTTCAAATGAGCCTCTCTAGCCCAGGAGTTCTTCCTAGATCCCAGGATGTTGTTGGGTGTGAGGAGGTGGAACTGATGCTGCCTAAGGTACAGGGAAGCCCAAGTCTGCCCAGACCTGCCACTAGGACAGATCCTAACAGGGTGAGGGAGGAGAACAGGACAAAAGAGCCCCAGGCAGAGCGTGTCCTCTGAGAGGGGAGTGGAACCCCAGCCTGGCTTCAGGTCACTACTGGGCAAGCAGTCTTGCAGGCTCTTGTCCAACCCTGTATTTCCTCTGGCTTCTCTCTGTTGCAGACCACCTGTTAGCCGAGCAGCTCCCCAGCCTGAGAAACTCCAGAAGAATAATATCACCAAAAAAAAGAAACTGGTTGAGGTGAGGAGGTTAAATGACTGTGCTTTTAATCTGCTTATTGATGTTCTGACACTGCCCAGTAGATGCCTTCATTCACCTGTCCTACAGATAGTATTAGACAAACCCAAGAATCTGTAGGCTCTCTTGTCCCTTTTCCCTTTTGCATGACGTTGTACCCCCATCTACTGGGTCATATTCCTCTTCCCCTAGCCCCGTCATTAGGCTTCATCAGTACTAACTCTAAAATGTCCCATGCCCTTCACAACTGGCCCCATTGCCCTAACCTCCTACCACCCAGGACCTCGGCATCCCTTTCATAGACAAGAGGGAAGGGGAAAGGGGCACATAAGTCAAAACCTCTAATCTCACTTTCCACATGCCGGGTGCTGTACCACATGCTTCTTGGGAAGCTTTGTGTACAGTTCTCTACATGTGAGGTAGGGTCTGTTACTCCCATGTGCAAATGAGGGCACTGAGGTGCAGAGAAGTTAAGGGGGTTATTAGGACCTGTGCCCAAGGTCACCAGACCAGTGAGGGAAGAAGATTTGGACTTGGGTTGTTGAGACATGAGGACCAGCTCCAGTAAACATGTGGTTTTCACAAAGAGACTTAACACCACGGAGTCCTCTAAATCTTTGATGTCTCATGCTAGTTTTGATATCCAAGAAATTCCCATGTTGCTAATGAGATTTATATCATGATTTGAAAAACCTGGAGCAGCCTTCCAAACTTATAGCCTGTGATTCCCATGTAACCTAAATCTCCAGCCCCAAATTCACCACCTAATGTTCTCAGAATTTATGTGGGCTTTGATGCCCTGTGTTTTAATTCCTCTGCTTAGAAGGTGCCTCTCTCTCCCCACACTGTGGTTCTTCCATCCCTTCCCTGGCATCTTCTCTGTGTGACCTTCATCTCTGATATTCCTCAACCTAACCCTGCATGCCCCACCACACTCCCTGCTGCACAGATCTCAGCACACATACCTGCCCACCTCCTGCATGTCTCTGTATGCACTGTTAGACCGTAAACCCATGATGCCAGATAATCTATCTTCTCCCCCGCCCCTCCTTTTTTTTAAGCTAGAAGGAGAACTTTATTGAAAGGATTTATCTTGGAACATAGCACAGGTCAGACAATGCAGTTTAATTTCAGGAAAGAAAGGATCCAGCAGCAGAAAAGCCATCATAAGCCTATCTTCCCTCAAACGGGGCCTTGTGTGCCTGGTATGTTCTTTTTCCTCTGAAAATGTCCTGAAGTACTGTTCTACACACAGCAAACTACTAGTGCCTTCTTGAACCTGGGTTTATATTTCTTCGGGTAACTAAACAGCTAAGTCTACCAGTGTCTCTGGTCCTAAATTCCTGGGAGACTGTCTAATTGGCTACTCTTGGGTCAGTTGTCTGCTGTATCCAGGGCAGTCACCTATTAGACATATTTCTGGGGGTAATCTGAGGGTAGATAGAAATTCATTCCATTGAAAGTGGGAGAAGGGCTTTCCAGATAAGAGAGACAGTGGAAAACAAAGTCAGAGTACCCAGAAAGCTTATGATAAATGAGCTAAGTAGGCAGTAAGCTTCTCCAGGATGCTCAGAAGATGGCTCAGTGTGGTTTGGACTCACTGTGCCAACTCAAGGAGTTTTGGGGCTTTATTCTAGAGGCAGTAAAAGACAGTGAATGCTTTCAGTCAAGAGATACAATAGTATTTTGGGAGAATTAATCTGATATTTGCAATTGGCAAGCTTTAAAGATGATAAAGGCCCAAATCAGGGAAACTGGAGAACTAGGGCCCACATCCTGTAAACCTTACATCCCATCAGTGAGTGCAGGACTAGGCATGCAGGAGCTGTCCAGTACTTGTGGGCTGATGGAATCAAGAGCTGATCAAAGTCAGGCACTGTTCTTTGTCATGGAGCCCAAGACAGCAAAAAGAGAAAGAATATGAGCCTAGTATAGTGTCTAGTTGTTAAGTTTCTGCGCATTTGCATTTTCCTAACAGGGCAAGTCTCAGCCAACGCAGTGGGCACCAGCCTGCTCTGCTAGTGCCACCTGCACCCCTGGGAGGCAGTCTCTAAATCACCATTCAGCTGACCTAAGGAGTGACTGCCTATCAGTACACTGATGTGACACTCATAGGTGACCTTTGGAGGCCATCAAACCTGTACACTGAGGCTCACCTGAGGAACCAGAAAATAACTGGCCTACTTAGGAAAGTCCTGTCACCTGTGCTAGTCTGCCATCCCTAGCATTTTAGGGGACTAAAGAATTGGCCACGTTTCACCCTCAGCTAGTCCAGAAGCACAGTGCCTTTGGTGAGCTGCATCTGCCTCACATAGCTCCCCTGTGACCAATGTGGCTGTTCACCGAACGCGACAATGTGACTTTGTTCCTCTGCTCTTAACCTCTAAGCATGGATTTAACCTTTGTGTGCCTGCAGGAGCTGGCTCTGGACCATGTGTTTGGCTACAGAGGATTTGATTGCCGTAACAACCTGCATTACCTTAACGATGGTGCCGACATCATTTTTCACACTGCGGCCGCAGGCGTGGTGCAGAACCTTTCCACAGGTAGCTGACGGGAGAAGTCCCCTTTCTGTGTGCTTTCCTACTCTTTCGAGGCATGAAGCTTGGCCAGGTCTTTCCCTCAGTGTCACCCACAACTTCTGGGCCCTTATCAGTCAGTCCCCAAAGCAGGAACTCTGTTCTTGGAGTCAAGGCCCTTTGCCTTTCTGACCTCAGCTAGATTTGACCATGGTGTAGGTACAAGAGGGAAGCAACCTATGCTTACATGAGCTCCTCTGTGGTGAGGGCAGCCAGAGGGAACAGGGAGTATGGGCAGAAACTAGTTAGAGACCAGAACCAAGAGCAAAGAGAACTGATTTTTTTTTTTAAATAGCAGTTCACAGTTTTTAAGTTTTGGATTTTTTTCCCCCCAAATTCTTTTTGTTGTTTGATTGCTTGCTTGGTGTCCTAGTTTGTTTCTCCATTGCTGTAACAAATATTCTGACCAATACCAACCTGGGGAGGAAAGGGTTTATTAGGCTTCCATCTCCCAGGTTATAGTTCATCGGGAAGCCCAAAGTAGGAACTCAGGGCAGGAATCTGGAGGCAGGAACTGGAGCACAAGCCATGGAGGAGCTCTGCTTACTGGCTTGCTCCCCTGACCCCTGCTCAAACTGCTTTCTTATACAACACAGGCCCACCTGCCCAGGGGTAGCACCACCCACAGTGGGCCGGGCCCTCCCACATCATTCAACAATCAAGAAGATGCCCCACAGACATGGCCACAGGCCCATCCTATGGAAGAAATTCCCCAACTGCAGCTCCCTCAACCCAGGTGTGTCAAGTTGACACTAAAGCTATCCAACACACTTGGTTTTTTAAGACAGTCTCATTCACCAGGTTGGCTTCAAAGACAGTGATCTTCCTGCCTCAGTCTCCTGAGTGCTAGAATTAAGAGGTGTGAGACACTATGCCTGGTTTGTTTTGACTAGAGCAATTTTTGCAGAGTGAATGTTACTAAACAGAATTTCTCAGTACCCTTTAATTATATGAATTCAATCAAGAAATAAAGTTTAGAAAATGAAACATTTCAAACAAAAACAGACTTTATTTATTTATTTACTTATTTATTTTTGACAGACATGCATAGCACCAGATCATGTCTCAAAACAAACCTTCTTCCAGGTTCCTTCCTGGTTCTGTGTTGTTTATGGGTAGATCCAGACAGCGAAGTCACTGGGCACACTCATTTGTATCTTTTTGGGGGAAAGGAAGGCCTTGACATTTTCTTTATATTTTCTCAAAAATTTTAGGCTCATGCCTTTAACCACTGCCATTCCCTGGTCTATCAATCCTACAGTTGACCTCTCTGTTCTTGGGTATTTGAGTGAATTTAAAATGGCCCTTTGCAAAATCAGGAAACTTTTATTATAATAGATGGTGAAATAGTTCTTGCCCATTCTTCCACTTCCTCTGAAATATGTTGAGTTATGGCTTTGGGGGCAAACCGTGACCTGTGCATTCTAGGTACTCAGATGGATTGGTCCTGCTAACAGGGACTCCTTAGGCAGTTTCCCTTGCAATGAGTACATGGTGCCAATTTTTCAGTACAGCAGTATCTCCCTTCTTGACAAGAGGTACACATTAAGAAGCCATCAATCTTGTGCCAAGAGGAGAAGGAAAACTTGAGCTTCATCATGTTAGATTCTGGAAGCCTTTGTACTTGGACTGTGTGCTGGACCCATACAGACAGTAGGAACGACTGGGGTGGAGTGTGGCTGTATAGAAAGTGGGTAATAGCTTTTGTCTTCCCAGACTTAGGTCAGAACATGTGAACAAAAAAAAAGCTCCCATCTCCCCAAGGACAATTCTGAAAGTGAAAACTGGGGGCTTTCTAACTTTGGCTTTTATAAAACATTTTCGGATTCCTCATGTACCTTCACGGTGGCTCTAAACAGACCTTCCAGCCCACTGCTCACCTTCCCATGATCTCTCTCTCCTAGGAAGCCAGAGCTTCTACCTGGAGCACACAGATGACATCCTCTGCCTCACAGTGAACCAGCACCCCAAATACAGAAATGTGGTGGCCACCAGCCAGATAGGTAGGGCACCTGTCTACAGCTGTGGCTCTCCCAGCCATGCAGGAACACTAACCTATCAGCACTTACTGGGAGGGAGGGTATAATGTAGACTCTTTCTCTCTGATGTCTCAGTTGAGAGTTTTAGCCTTGAATGTCTGTGTCACTTAAGTTGATACAAGCAGTGACCCATGATTCTGAGGGACCATGAAGGCAGCCCAGAGCCTGACAGTTAAACAAATGGATGGTCCTCTTCTCTGTGAACTTAGACCCCTGCCCCCAGGCCCATCAGTGAGCCCTGTGTCCTGAAGCCTGACCATTATGCCTGGCAAGTGTAGGTTGCAGCATGCGTGCCTGGCTCCTGTGTGCCCCGAGAAACTGCCAGCCACAAATGTGAACTGGTGCACATTTGTGAAAAGTCATTTGCTTATCTGTTTTTACTTTGTCATGTCAAAGGCGGTTCTTACCTAAGAGTCCTCCTGCTTATTTCATTGAAGCCATGTCCATTTTAAAGTTTAGTTTGGAGTCTTCTGATGCTGCTGTTGAGTGCTTCGCTGTTAGAAACCTGACTTATTTTGGCTGTTGTTTTCCCTTGATCGCTTCCTCATTGCCATTGCCCACCATTGCAGGTGATGTCGCAGAAGCCGCAGGTAAGGCAGTTCCATCTGTGAGTAGTTCAAATCTGCACAGCAAAATCATGTCAGTGTAGCATGTTTGCTGATTGTATCTGGTTGGACTGCAGATACAAATCATCCAGTTTCCTTTGAATAAAGCCCTCCACAAGCCTTAACATCTGTAGGGCCCACCTTCAGCAGCAAGTTTCCCCATGTCTTTGACCAGGTCAGACTAGAATTCTCTTATGCCCAATACCTGTGACACCCCAAGACACTTGTCTAAGGAAGGGCTTTTAAGGGAGCATTAAGTGTTGAGGCACTACTGTTCTCTGTCATGCCTCCCACACTCAGGAACAACACCTTCAATCCACATCTGGGACGCCATGACCAAACACACCCTCTCCATGCTGAGGTGCTTCCACTCCAAGGGGGTGAATTACATCAACTTCAGTGCCACTGGGAAGCTCCTGGTGTCCGTGGGTGTGGACCCTGAGCACACCATCACTGTCTGGCGATGGCAGGAAGGTAACAAGCTGGGCTTGGTTTTCCTTCCACAGGGCTCACCTGTGGCATGGGGGCTGGGATGGAACCCCAATCTGCCTCACTCCAAGCCCACATAAGCCCTCTTCCACACAAGCAGCAGTCAGAGCTCCTAGAACCCTGGAAAATCTTCTTGCAGATCCTGTTGTCTCCCTTTGTATGTTGGCCATGTGGAGGTTGGTCAGGGACCTGAGGTGCCCAGTGAAGGTATGTGGGGAAAGTGCCAACACCAACCACCTCTTCCCCAGACAGAGGCAGGGAGGGTGTCCCCTCTCTGCCATCACCACCTTCCTGGCCCCTGGATCCTGTTCCAGCCCCATTGACTTTTGTTACCTTGTTATTAGAAATGGGGAAACCATGGTCTCAGAAAGCAATTTCAATTTTTGAAGTTTTTTTTGTATTTTGACTTTTTTAAACGTAAGATTTGTCTTACAATTACAGTTTATATTCAATAAATTTCTTATCCTTCCCAATAAGTATACACGCACATGTGCACACACCAGCTGCTACTAAATTTGTGATTGTCTTACAATTTAAAATATGCAGTTTTTTGAGTATATCCTCAGGTCGGGGTACTGCCTTGAGAAAAGCAGATCCAATTAGTGAGGACATTAATGAGGTCTTGTCTGTAGCTGGTATCTGGGACACACTGAACAGACAAGCAGAGAAGTGGCACTTCTCCAGTCCAGGACTCTAGAGTCCCATTATCCCCTCATTGTCTCATGGAAGGGGTGGGGAGAAGGGCTTTAAAGAGATGTCTACATTACAAGGAAAGTTCCCATCTTTCCCATGCCCCAGTTAAGAGATGTCAATGGCTGATGAATGTTAAGGATGGGCTCTTTCCACTACATCAGAGACCCTTGTCCTTTTCTTGTTCACTGTGTCCAAGTGGCCCCTTAATCCACCTCTCTTAATCCAGATTGATTCCTTTTCATGTCAAGTGGCCAGTGGATCAACTAGATGGCCCAGATGAAAAATGGAGCATATTACGTTATAGACTTAAAGCATCTTAGAGTTGGAAGGTCTAGGCAGTCAGAATCCATCCCACAGAAAAAGTCTTCCATGTTCAGTTCTCTGCTTGTGTATTTCCAATGACATGGCCCCTGTCACTTTCCAAGGAGCCTATCCACTGTCAAAAACCCTTCACATAAAGCCTTCCCTTTATGGAGCATTACTGCCTTCAGGATGCCTTTTGTTGTTGTTGTTGTTGTTGTTGTTGTTGTTGTTGTTGTTGAGAGAGGGTCTCCCTGTAGCCACAGCTGACCTGGAACTTGCTATGTAGACCAAGCTGGCCTCAATCTCGGAGATCCACCTTGCCTCTGCCTTCTGAGGGCTGGAATTAAAGGCATGTGCCACCACACCAGGCCCAAGGATGCCTTTTTTTTTTTTTTTTAAGGTTATTGACTCTTGTCCCAGGCCCTGAGAGAAAAGTGAGCCTATAGCCCCTACAGTCTCTTGTGTTTAAATCCTTGTTTCCTCTCCTCACTTCTTCCACTTGTCCCTCCAGGCAGTGTCTGCTCTGGCCTTGCTCTGGGCCACACTCTTTTCATCTGGAGCCCTTCTGGTCTTCCAAAGGAAGACTAGAAGTCATCCTTTAAACAAAGTCACAGGGAGAAGTTTGGCCTTTGGAGTGTCTTCTCATTCTCGTTGTTTCTGCACAGAAAGATCCTGAGCAAGCCAGGGAGCACACCTAATAGCCTAATAGCCTGTCACCAGATGCTGCCTCTTCCCAATTGACTGGTTATGGCCTCTCTTCCCCTTCTCTAGTGTGTTTTTTTTTTTCCTTCAAATCCTGCTTTCATATAACAGCACTTGTTTGGGGAGGTTTATATGCATTTTTAATATCACCAAAGAGCATATTATAGATTCCTCATTTGTTAGACGATCATTTTGGGGGAACATGTGTGAAAAATAAGATGGAATTCAAAATGAACTTATTATATAAAATGCATGCTGCCAGTTCCTAGATATGTTTTTGTAATTTATTCTGAACAGTCTACAGCCCCCCCCCCAAAAAAAAGAGGGATTCGGGTGTCTCTGCAATGAAAAAATCTGATATTAAAACAAGGGGGGAACCCAATAAGCTTAAAAGGAATAGGGCTCTCATTGTTATCTGGCATTTACTGTGGCTGCTGAAATCCTCTTTCCTTCCCTCATGACCACTTGTACTACTTCTATAATCCATGGGTTGAAAGATCTTCTAAGATAAGAGAGCTCTCTTCTTCCAACAATTTGCTTTCTCTATAGATTATTCATATTCATCCTTTGACTCTTACTTATAAGAGTCGCAGGTGCTTTTTTCCCAGCCTGCTGTTTGCTTTCAAACTTAGTGTATAGAATCTTTGGAGTCCATGAGTTTTAAATCCCCCAAGTCCCATGTAGTGAGATACCTGTTATCATAGGTTCCAATTGCAGAAAGAGTTGTGGCCAGGATGTGGGGTGAAGGGGCTCTCTTGATCCAGCCTTCCCTGGAAAAGGCTTCTTTTAGGGAGCATCTGAGGCATAGCTGCAAGCCCAGTTAAAAAAAATCACCACCACTGGCATCACAACCACTACACTCCTGGAGAGCCATCATCTGAGGAAGTGAGCCAATGTAAGATAATGAGAGGGAAAAGATCTGGCTAAATAAAAGGGAGAGGAGGGGATTGGAACTGACACTTTGAGAGGATGTGTAAAGAAGCTTAAAATAAAAATTAAAAATGCAAGGGCTTAAAATAACAGCATAAAAAGAAATCACCTTAAAATACAGGCAAAAGCAATAGAACCAAGAGATTTTAAAAGGAACCAAAGGAATAGCAGTAATCACCAGTTGGAGTGATTCTGCACCCCAAGTACTGTTCCAGCTGCCTCAGTTCTTTGAATTCGCACTGCACCCTATTTGATAGGAACTACTATTATCCCCAGTTTACATGCAACGAAACCGAGGCCCAGAGAGGTTATATCCAAAAATGTTCTGTAAGTGGTGGAGTTCAGATTCAAGACAATGGCTAAATGAAACCCAGGAGATATTTTGAAAATGGATTGAGAAAAACTCTAGTAAGGTGAAAAAATTTAATCCTAAAACCCACAAACTAAAAAGGATATTAAGTTTGTTTTTCTTGGTTTTTTTTTTTTTTTTTTAAGAAAATAAGTGGAGGAACTCTTAGATAGACATAAGAAAATAAAAGTTATTTAAACAATGTGAGTTCCCAGTGACCCTGGGAGGGCTTAGCTTCCTAAGGGATGAACTCTGTGGTGATGGTGGGGTAAGGAGACAGGGGTACAAGTAATTTTGCCTTTTCCTGAAAGGTGGAAGCTTCTGCTTCATAGGCCACTGTCACTTTCTTCTCCACAGACTGCTGGAGGGGAGTTCTTTTAGCAACCCCTGATGCTCTGGAAACTTTCCACACATGCTTTTGCACCCCCCGTGGGTAATATCTGCAAGGGAGAGGATGCCATTATGAAGGCACCCTAAGTCCCAAGAGGATAGAGAGCCAGCCTGGGCTTCAGCTTCCTGCCCCTGCCCATGCACAGAAGGACTGACCTCATTAGACACTATCACCCACACAGGTGCCAAGATTGCCAGCCGAGGGGGTCACCTGGAGCGTATATTTGTGGTGGAATTTCGCCCCGACTCAGACACACAGTTTGTATCCGTCGGGGTCAAACACATGAAGTTCTGGACCCTGGCAGGCAGTGCCCTGCTGTACAAGAAAGGGGTCATCGGGTCCATGGAAGGGGCCAAGATGCAGACGATGCTGTCCGTGGCTTTTGGTGCTGTGAGTTCCAGCAGATGCTTCCTCAAAGAGGACCCTGAATCCCTCAGGCATGGGCATGGGATGGTGGGGGAGGGGTGGCCAAGAAGCTAAAATTGAAAGCCATTTCCACATCACCTTCCATAGCATTGATGAGTGAATTGACCACATTGTGTGTGTGCGCAGGCCAAAGGACAATTGACTTTGGGTGTCATTCTTTAATAGCTTGCCAGCTTCTTTAACACAGGGTCTATCACTGAATCTGGAGCTCACTGGTTAGGCTAGGCTGACTAGTTGTGAGCCCCAGGGATCTGCCTGTCTCTACCTCCTCAGCACGGAGATTAAAGTACATGCCACCACACAACAGTTTTTTGTTTTGTTTTGTTTGGAATGTTCTGGGATAAAATTCAAGTCCTTATTCCTGTAAGGCAAGCATTTTACTAACAAGTTTCTCCCCAGCCCCTCAGCTGACTACATTTTTACCCATTTTTCCCCTCAAAATGTTATAGTCAAAGTATTACTTTTCTCATTGCTGTGATAAAATACCCAACAACAGCAACTTAAGGAAGGGTGGGTTTATTTTGGCTCACAGTTTGAAGAGATACAGACCATCATGGCAGGAAGCACATGGTGGCAGGAGCATGAGGCGGCTGGTCACATTGTGTCCACAGGCAGGAAGCAGAGAGATGAATGCTGGTGCTCAGCTCACTTTTTCCTTTTTATTCAGTCTGAGACCTAGCCAGTGGGATCACACATTCAGGGTGGCCTTCCCTTTTCAGTTAAACCTTTCTAGAAATACCCACAGATACCCAGATGTGTGCTTCCATGATTCTTAATCCATTTAAGTTGACAATGATTAACCATCACAGGGTAGGACCCTCCATCCAGGGCAGATAATTCCAGAGCAGACCATGCCATGCACACCCAGCAGGCCTGTGTTTAAGCAATCTCTGAGGATGCTGGGAACAATTTCCACTCCTAGGGTGTAGTCCTTTTTCCAGCCATCCTGCTCCACAAATCCCTCAAGTGCTCATCTAAGTAGACTGTGGGGTCCTTAGCCAGTACAGGCTCCTTTGGGGACATGTGGAACAGCTCTCTTGATGTTCCAGGTATTCTGCTTCCTAGATGAGCCCCAGGTAGGTTTGGTGTCTGGCTGGAGTTGGCCCTCCTCTGCTGTCACCTGGGTCATGCTGGTGATGAAGAATGCCCAAACTAGAGTGAATTCAAAAACCAGGGGACAGTCCTATCTTTTTTGTGTTTCTCTGCAAATCTGGCTTGATGCAGAAGATCAAACTGACAACACACAGCCTGTTCCCTTTGAAAAGGAGTGGGTATCTGGGAAGGGACCCTCAAGTATGTCCCTGGTACCGAAGGTGTCCCTTTGTTTACAGAACAATTTGACTTTCACGGGTGCCATCAATGGAGATGTCTATGTGTGGAAGGACCACTTCCTCATCCGGCTGGTGGCCAAGGCCCACACAGGCCCGGTGTTCACAATGTACACCACCCTCCGGGACGGGCTGATCGTGACTGGTGGAAAAGAGCGGCCGTAAGCAAAAGCCCCTCTAGCCCTCAGAAACTTGTTCTTTCTTACCATTCTGAAGCAAACTGACAGAAGCATCCGCAGGTTGTAATGTTCCTATCTTTCCTGTGTTAAGATCAGTCTACAGTCTCTCTAAGAGGGCCCTTCGCAAGTGAGAGGGGAGTAGAGCAGTGGGTTAGTGGTAGTTAAAAACTCAGGAGATACTTGAATAACCTGGTGTAGCTTTGCTCTTGCAAATGCTACTCTTAGCAACTCTTTGGGGGAAAGGAGGCAGTAAAAGGAACCAGAAGTGGCAGGGCGGGACTCATGACACATTGTTAGTAGTCTAATGAAAACAGCATTTGGAAGCGATTTAGGAAATCTACAAGGCCAAGGGTCTGTGGTTGCCCATCAACAGAGCCTAGGAAGGAGGCTGCCCTGGAGGGTCATCCTGCTGGGCCTGGGTGGCCATGCTATCGGCAACTGGTGGAGAGGGGTTTGGGAGGAGAAGTCGTAGGGCAACAGGTAAGTGCTTCCTTATGCTTTTTTAGAACCAAAGAAGGAGGTGCTGTGAAACTCTGGGACCAGGAGATGAAGCGCTGCCGGGCCTTCCAGCTGGAGACAGGGCAACTGGTAGAGTGTGTACGCTCTGTGTGCCGGGGCAAAGTGAGTATGGAGGGACTTCTGCGAGCCATTCCTTGATCTGGGCCAAGGAAGGGGACAGGGATCCCAGTGAGCCACCTTCCTGTGCCTCTCCAGCCAATCTGTATGTTCAAGCTTTAACTCCCTGCCGTGTGAATGATACCATCGTGTGGAGTAGCTTAGCAATCAACGCTGGGGAAACTGACTCCAAGAAGTGCTGGGTGTGTCTCCAGTGTCCAGCAGCCATGCTAGTTGTGAGCTGGTTGTGAGGACTTCAGTTTCAAAAAACCAGAGAGTGCCTTTCCATCTGCCTGACAGGAAGTCATTCAGGAAATGCAAGCTGCTATTATTACAGATAACATTCTTTTGTCTGTTTTGTTTTTATTTTTTATTTTACGTGTTTGAGTGTTTTGCCTGCATGTATGTAGGTGCACCATGTGTGTACAGTGTCTGCAGAGATCAGAAGAAGGTGTTGGATCCCCTGGAACTGGAGTTACAGATGGTTGTTAGCCACCATGTGGGTGCTGGGAACTGAACCCAGGTCCTCTGCAAGAACAGCCAGTGCTCTGAACCAGGGAGCATCTCTCCAGCCCTACAGAGAGTATTCTTTTTCTTATTATTTTATGTGTATGAGTGTGTTGCCTGCATGTATGTAAGTACACCCCTGTCATGCGATGCCCATGAAATCATACAGTTGTCCTGTTTCTAATACTATTTTCATTACACCAGGGAAAAATTTTAGTAGGAACCAAAGATGGTGAAATAATTGAAGTTGGTGAAAAAAACGCTGCTTCCAATATCTTAATTGATGGACACATGGAGGGGGAGATCTGGGGCCTAGCCACACACCCCTCCAAGGACATCTTCATCTCTGCCAGCAATGATGGCACAGCACGGATCTGGGACCTGGCAGACAAGGTGAGGAACCTACTCAGTCTGGCTGACATATTCATAGGAGTAGAGAGAGCCTGTATCAAGTCGGGGACCAGGATAGGCTGCATTGGCATTAAGTTAGAAAAGCCTAATAAACATCCCCTCACACACCCTGTCAGCCTTTCACCTACATAGGCTTTTTTGATGTGTGATGGAATCTCTTGTAGCCCAGACTGGCCTTGAACTTACTATTTAGTTGAGGATGATCTTGAACTCCTGGTCCTCCTGCTTCCAATTCCCCTAGTGCTGGTATTACAGGCATGCACTGTCAACAGGCTCAGTTTTTATGCAGGGTTGGGGATCAAACCCAGGACTTCATGCATGCTAGGTTGAACCCTAGATTTTGATAGTACAGTAATAATATAATTGAGGACTATCTTTTATGAAAGGACCCACAAAATGAGAGAAAGAGAGACAGAGACATCCCCCTGAATGGGAAGACTGAAAATGTTAAATATTCCCAAATAGGCTGATGTAGTCCCATCAGATCCCAGGAAGATTTCTCTTAGAGCTTGGGAAGGCAACTTTAAAGTCCATCTGGGGTTGAAATGTAAAATACCAGGAAAAATGCTACTGAGCTTTATCCAGTCCAAAATAAACACCAAAGTTCTAATAATTAAAGCACAAACGTGTTTTATATATATTGCAAAATGACTAGGAAATATTGTGGTCACATTTTTATTGTAAGAGTCAAAGAACAGACAGGTAGAAGCATAAATGTGGCCAAAGTTACTAACAGCTTTCACTCACTGAAAACCTACAACAAACAGGATGCTTCCTGTACGCTGTTGTTAATGCCTACGAAAACCTTCTAAGCCTGGTATTAGTATCACTTCTTTAAGTGGTAATACTCAGTAATGTGCTCAAACATACCCAGCTAGGAAGTAAGAGCCAGCTGATGCTGAAGTTCATGCTCTTTTCCTTAAGCAAGAGGCCGGCAAAGCACAAGGCCCAGGTCTGGCCTGCAGCCTGTTTTTCACAGGGGAAGCCACATTCATTTGTTACCTACTATCTACAGGTGGCTTTGTGGAGCTGAATAGTTACAACAGACGCTGCAGCGCACAAAGTTCTAACTGCTTAACAACAGTTTGCCAAACCCTGCCCTAAAACCTGCTATCTCCCAAGCTACTCTAATCAAAGCATGCTGCCCATCTCACCTGCCCACAGAGGTTTACATAACACCCTGGTGGCCCTCGGTGACAGCAGAAGCAGTCTGACTGCTCTGTCCTGAGGCAGGGTTTCCCTCAGGATCAGCCCAGGTGTCAAGGGCTCAGGTGACTCTCTTTGTATCGTGTAGAAACTACTAAACAAGGTGAACCTGGGGCATGCGGCCAGGTGTGCAGCCTACAGCCCTGACGGGGAGATGGTGGCCATTGGCATGAAGAACGGAGAGTTTGTCATCTTGTTGGTGAACAGCCTGAAAGTTTGGGGGAAAAAGCGAGACCGGAAATCTGCCATCCAAGATATCAGGTACAGAAGTGAATGGACTGAGCCAGGAGAATGGAGCAGTCTCCCTTGCAAAGTGCCACAGCTGGATCGAAGACCTGAGTCGAAAGTTGCTTCTATAGTCAGCTCTGCAAAGAGGCCCCTCACATGCTCCTTTTCAGCCACAGCTTCACTAATTTCCATAAGTCTGTGGTAAAAGTAATTCTACAAAAGGCTGCCCACATCTGAGTAGGGAGGCATATCTCATTGTCTTTGGGCTTGGGACAAAGCTTACCCAGATCTGCCAGAGAAGCCTTCATGCTGAGCAGCCCGGAACAGCCTCCTCATGGACCATGTTCTCAAATTGTTTTTTTCTAGAATCAGCCCAGACAACAGATTCTTAGCTGTCGGTTCTTCTGAGCACACGGTTGACTTCTATGACCTCACTCAGGGCACAAGTCTGAACCGAATTGGCTACTGCAAAGATATCCCAAGCTTTGTCATTCAGATGGACTTTTCTGCGGATAGCAAATACATTCAGGTATGCTTCCTATTAACTTGGAACACAGCAGCAAGAACATGGTTTCTGTCAGCAGGGTGCTAACTATGTGCTGGTGGGCTTGTTTCAAGGGGAACGAACGGCTAAGTACTGTTACTTTCTCCTTATTTTATAATTGCAGAAACAGAGGCTGAGATGATTTAGAAAGTAGAAAAACAATAGTCATTCTTTAGTAAGAAACAAAAACAAAACCTCATACACACCAGGAAGTCCCTGTCATCTTTGGCTTCTCACCAGCTCATCTTTGCAGTATCCTAATTTCTGGGCCAGTGAGATGGCTCAGCAGGTGAAGTCACCTGACCAAGCCTGATGACCTGTTTGTATCCCCAGAGACCCACATGGTGGAAGGAGAGAACACCCTAGTGCACGCGCGTGCACACACACACACACACACAAAGTAATTCTTATAAGAAAAAGCAAGCACCCTAGTTTCTGACTCTCTAGGGCAGCACTAAGCCTGTTACTGTTTCATCCTTCCTGGGCAGTATGGCCTCTGCATACTTGGAACATAGAGTGGACTAGAGAGTGCATCACTGGGTCCCACCACAGCTGACCAGTAGGGATCTAGGAGTCCGTACCTTTGGGGCCCGATGGCTAAAGACAAAACAAAGATTTCTCCAGCATTCAACCAAATACACATTTGTGAGCCTGAAGTTAGATGTCTACTGTGAAAGAGGAGAGAAAAGTATACATTATACATTCATTTTTCAAACATTTATGGAACTAGTATAAATAGGCTTTGGATAGACAAAAGTGCCTATTCTCTGTCTCCTGAAGCTTGCTCTGTCATGGAGAAGGCAGGTATTAACTACAAAATATGCATCTATTTAGAAATTGTGATTGCATGCAGAGAAGACTACCGGGTAGCATTTAAAGAGGTGCTCAGACTTGCTTCTCTTTTAAACAAGTTCTATTTAAGCTGAGGTCTGTAGGCTGTGTAGGAGTTAGCTAACAAAGAGGGGTGGCAATACTGTTCCAGGCCATCTACATTGAAACCCTGAGGTAGGGAAGATTTAGGCTCATTAAATGAGCAGGAAAGTCTCGTGGCTAGACAGAGGCATCATCATGGGGGAGTGAAGAGACCCAAGATAACAGGACACTGGCAAATGTCCTTGACTGAAAATTGTGGCCATTTTCCTCCAGAGCATTCTTAGAGATGCAAGGGCCAGGTCCTAGGCATCAGCTGCTGACCACAACAAAACTTGCCTTATCTTTGTACCTTGGTACTCTGAGAATTGGATTTCCTTCTATCAAAATCCCCTGAAGGCAGTTAAAAGAGACTGCTAGGCCCACCCTCAAAAGGTTTTTAGTTTGATAAGTTGGGAGATGGGGCTCAAGAATTTGTTTCCTGATAAGTTTCCAGGTTGCTGTTTGGCCATCACTTTTGGAGAAGCAGTACCTCAGGACTTTGGGAAACAGTAAAAACAAAACAAAACGGGGGCGGGGCGGGGGTGGTGGTGGTAGGAAACACCCTATGAACTTTACCACAGGCTGGCTTCAGGGTATGAAGCCTGAAGGCTGAGCTTGGGTTTGGAGAAAAGCTGTATGTAAGCTCTATGTGTCCATACAGCTGCTGAGCTAGTGTTCTGGAAGATAGCCAACAGGGTATCTGGGACTGAGAAAGTGGATGATGGGTCCCTTTCACTTGCAGGTGTCAACAGGAGCCTATAAGCGCCAGGTGCACGAGGTTCCCCTCGGGAAGCAGGTAACTGAAGCTATGGTCATTGAGAAGATCACCTGGGCTTCCTGGACAAGGTGAGTGAAGCAAACACTTCTTGAGGACGAGGTCACAAAGGGAGCCTATGTTCCCAGCTCTGCCACTTGAGTTTGTGATGGGAAGAGCTGAGGTGGAACTGTCTTTCCTCGGGGGTTGAGGGTGGGACGCTGCTTGGCACTGGTTTAGGACATAGTTTTATCTGACAGGAGCTTTAAACATAAAGTCCTTTTTATCCCACAAGTTCAAAGGTAAACTCTCTCCCATCTCTTGGCCAAGCCCAGGAGCACAATGAAGCTTCCAGTTACCTGGGGAGGGAAATGGGAAGCCTAGAAGTACTGTTCATCAGGGTAAGAACTAACTAACACCTGGTTATTTCAAGGAGCAAGAGTTTGGTCAGAAGGTTCTCCCACTCCAGGCATGCTCATGTTCATGAGGCATATAGGGAAGAGGAAGAATCAAAGGTGGGGGTAAAGCTTTCTGGAGTGGAGGGGGAAGAAGTGGAGGAAGAACAGTGAAAGGTGGTACAAGTGTCCAGAGCAGGAGGAGATGGCTGTTTCATGACACAACTGTATCGAATTATGCAGAATTCCCATCTCCCTCTTAACCCTGGGAGGGGACAACAGACCCTTGGAAATTCTGTCATACCTTTCTAACACCTTTTCCTGTTGGAACAGCATTCTAGGAGATGAAGTCATTGGAATCTGGCCACGAAATGCAGACAAAGCTGATGTCAACTGTGCATGTGTGACCCATGCTGGCTTGAATGTTGTCACAGGAGATGATTTTGGACTGGTGAAGCTCTTTGATTTTCCATGCACAGAGAAATTTGTGAGTCTTCCTGGATAGCCTCCCTGAACTGCTCCCAGGCTTTCTGCTCTCGTGCCTTCTGAAGGACTGTGCCTACATCCAGATGACCCCCTGGGATTCACAGAGTTATGGTCCCAGTCCTGTGGGGATTTGGCTAACCTTTTCATGTCCCTCTGGAGGGATAGGCCTGGAAGCTTAAGGATGGTGGGTGGACAGAGTGGCTGCAATCACAGAAAAGAATGAGGCAGGGAAGTCAGCAAATGGTGGTTAACAAGCCAAACAGGAACCTCATTTATGGGAGGAGATCTGAGTCCTGGAAGTGCTGTGCTATGGTTACTATTCAAACTTATACATAGCAATCAACTGACACAAACTACCCTTCAGACAAGCTGTTAGGAAACTATAACATCATACCATAGGTGGCATGATGGGCCCCCAGGGATAGATAGATCCTTCAGTTCCTTAGAAGCACTTCATCAGGAGAGATGGCTGGCTGACACAGATAGAAGGATAAGGGTACTGAAGGGGAAAGACACTTCAATTCTGGGGAACACAGGAAGTTTGACTCTCATAGGTTTTCTGGGAGAGGGGTAAGTTCCATATCAGATGACCTAGCCTATATGCCAGGAGTCACAAGAAAGGAAGGCACTAGATAAAAGTTATAAACCAAGGTTGTCTTGGGCCTGGGTATCAAGGAGCTGGACTTATAGCTCTAAGAGGGAGATGGCAAGGCACAGCAGGCTCACTTGTGTCAATTCCATTCAGATAGCAATACAGGGGGTGTGGCCTGGTTCTGGGAAGGAGGCAGCTGGAGGCTCTGTAACCTGAGAGTTATTTTGGGAGGAACAGGCTCTTAGCTGCTTCTATTTGCTTTTGGTCACAGGCCAAGCATAAACGATACTTTGGTCACTCAGCTCATGTGACAAATATCCGTTTCTCTTATGATGACAAGTATGTGGTCAGCACTGGAGGAGACGACTGCAGGTACTGTCCTGATTAATCTAGTTGGTTCCTCAGGCCCAGCTTCTCCACCTTATGTGTCCTGTGGGTCAGGCCCTGTCAGGGGCATAGTAAGGGTCTTATGTAGGACAGCAAACAGAAAATTCCTTGAGTTCTTAAGAAAAAAAGACTTCCAAATGTAAGGTATTCTGTTGGAGATTCTCAACCCAAATTTTGATGGGCTTGTATGCCCACCAGAACTGTCCTGGGACTGGTGAGATGCTATGGTCATGTGACAGCTATTCTGAGCATTGCTCCGGTGAAGGGCCAAAGGACCCAAGATGGCTGCCTGCAGTAGGTGCACTCATCAAGAACAATCAGGTTAGAATGGAACTTCATCTACGTGTCCTTAAGAATTGATCAGGTCCTAATTCTTTAAGATGTATTGGTCATGGCCAAGAAGTGTAAAGATCGTAATACCAAGCCTTAGTGACTCTAAGAAACGATCAGGGCAAGTGCTAGCCTTTAAGTTGACATGAGATGTAGGGAGGTAATGTAATTAGGTCCTTGATGGTTCAGAAGCAGAACCATTTCGACTAAAGCCAAGGGAGCTTTTTGATCTCGGGTTGAAGTGGGCAGGTTATTGTTCTGCATGAGGCATGGCTGAGAAGCCAGTATTTTGAACTCTGCCAACCTGATCCACAGGCCTATAGCCTCTTCAGCATTTCAGAGTAGGTAGCATTCTTCCCTCCACCTTAAAGAGTGGAGGGACAGGACTAAGTCATTCTGTTATAACCCAGTTTCTCTACCTGCGATACTGAAAGGCTTTATTGTGTTACAAACTCTTAAGCAGAGGAAGAAATGCAGGGCTGGCTGGCAAGATGGCTTCCCTAATGCTTGCTCTACACCTGATGACCTGAGTTCAATCTCTGGGGCCCACAAGGTAGAGAGTAACAACTCCCAAGTTTTCAACTCTGACCTCCACACAAGCACTGTGGCATGTGTTGACATGCATGTGTGTACACACACTAAAGCACCCATCTTCTACTCACTGTGCCACCTACTGCTGGTACTTACAGGGCTTGAGATAGTACTGACACCACTCTTGACACCAGCCCCTCTGGAGTGTTCAAAGCAGAATAAGCTAGGAATAAGAGACCCAAGTGAACTGGTCACTTCAGTCACTGAGAGATACAAGCTGATTTGTTTACCAAACAAGACTTGACAATAGCCTAAAAAATGTAGAGCCTGAGCCCATGGGGGTATACCTTGAAAAAGGGCTTATACAACTGGCACTGATGAAACCTCTCAATAGTAACAGAAGATAGTATGAAGTCTAGCTGCAAAACTCCCTGCTGACTCCATTCAGCACCAGTGTTCAAGCTGCTAAAGCAAAGTACAGCACACCATACAAAAATTACTCTTAAAAATAGCAGTAGGCCAGACATGGTAGTGCAGGCCTGGAATCTCTACCCTCAGGATCACAGGTTCAAGGCCAGCTTGGGCCACAGAGTGAAACTCCCTCCCCCAAAGTAAATGATTAGGGAAGAGAGAGAGAGACAGAAAACAGACCTACAGTTGGGTGGCAAAATCCCCAGTTCATATTTTTTAAGAATTATTATTATTATTATTA